ATCTAGTGATCCTATTAAACTGTAAGTCAGATGTCTGTTTCAAGCCCTCTCAACTTAGTAGCTTCTCATCTCCCTCAGATTAAATCCAGTGTCTTTGGTCCCACACCATCTGGTAACAACCTTGTTTTCTCCCATTCTCTACCACTTCTGCTCCACTCCAAACATATGACTTTCCCTGTTTGTCAGTGATATGGTAAGGTTTTGTGTCCCCACCCAAATGTCATTTTGAATTTAATCCCCATAATCCCCACATGTTAAGAGAGAGACCAGGTGGAGGTAGCTGGATTATAGGGGTGGTTTCCCTCATGTTGTTCTCATGATAGTGAGTTCTCACAAGATCTGAGATCTGATGGTTTTATAACTGTTTGATAGTTTCTCCTGCATTCATTCTCTCTCCTGTTGACTTGTGAAGAGGTGCTGATATGGTTTGGCTGTGTCCTCACCCAAATCTCACCTTGAGTTATAACAATCCCCATGTGTCAAGGGTGGGACCAGGTGGAGATAACTGAATCATGGGGTGGTTTCCCCCATACTATTTTTGTGGTAGTGAAGAAGTCTCACGAGATCTGATGGCTTTATAAATGGGAGTTCCCCTGCACATGCTCTCTTGCCTGCCACCATGTAAGACGTGACTTTGTTCCTCCCTCACTTTGTGCCATGATTGTGACATCTCCCCAGCCATGTGGAACTGTAGTCCATTAAACCTCTTTCCTTTATAAATTACCCAGTCTCAGGTATGTCTTTATTAGCAGCATGAGAACAGACTAAAACAGATGCCTTCCACCACGATTGTAAGTTTCATAAGGCCTCCTCAGCCACGCAAACTGTGAGTCAATTTAACCTCTTTTCTTTACAAATTATCCAGTCTCAGGCAGTTCTTTATAGCAGTGTGAGAACAAACTAATACACTCAGCAAGCCATGTATGTTCCCATCTTAGGGCCTTTGCACTTTCTGTTCCCTCTGTCATCTTATCCAGGTCTGCTTGAATCATACCTTTTGATAGTGGCCCTCTCTGTTTTCCCTATCTGAAATGTCACTTTGTCAGTGGTCTTTCCTGAACACTGACTTTTTCCCTGGTCATTGTTTTTACTCTGGTTATGCTTTATTTTTTTCTTTATAAGATTTATTGCTGCCTTGCATATTAGTTATGTTTTTGCTCATTGTCTCTCTTCTCAATAAAATGTAATCTCCACGAAGATGAAAATTTTAGATTCTCAGAACCTAGAAAAATATCTAGCCCACGAAAGGCACCTGGTAACTCTGTTGAATAAATGATTAAATGAAAGACATATAAAACAAAAGATACATTCAAAGATTACTGTCTCTTCTTCAGAAAAATAAGAAGTACTCACAGATTAAGAGATTGACAATTCCCATACATAACAATATAAAGCTTTTCTATAATAAAAATAAAAATTAGGCCGGGTGCGGTGGCTCACGCCTGTAATCCCAGCACTTTGGGAGGCCGAGGCGGGTGGATCACGAGGTCAAGAGATTGAGACCATCCTGGTCAACAAGATGAAACCCAGTCTCTACTAAAAATACAAAAAATTAGCTGGGCATGGTGGTGCACGCCTGTAGTCCCAGCTACTCAGGAGGCTGAGGCAGGAGAATTGCCTGAACCCAGGAGGTGGAGGTTGCGGTGAGCCGAGATGGAGTCATTGCACTCCAGCCTGAGTAACAAGAGCGAAACTCCATCTCAAAAAAAAAAAAAAAAAAGAAAAATAATTAAAAAGGACAACAAAATATTTGAATAAACAAAACAGATTAATAGCTATCACCTATAAAAAGTGCATTTAAATTTATAAGATCACCTACAAAGAGTACATTTAAATTTATAAGAATACCAAGACCACAATAAACAAACAGATAATTCATAGATCATATAGAATATAAACAAATACATGGAGAAATAGTAATCTTCACTAGTAAATAAAGGTATGTAAATTAAAGCAAGCTGAAATATTATTTTATCTGTCAAATTAGAAAAAAAGTTTTGCTAACTGCTACTGAAGCTGAGAAAAAGCTAGTAGATTCATTCTTGAGTGATGACACTGTATTAAATAATATTTTTGCAAAGCAATTCAGTAATACAGAGAAAGAGCTATATACATGTCTGTGTCCTTTACTAGTAATGCCTCTATTAGAAATTATTCCTATGGAAATTCAACAGCAGCAAAAAGCTATTTGGAAGAAGATGCTCACCACAGTGTTATCTATAAAGCCCCAAACTGAAAACACGTAAATGGCCAACATTAAGGGGAATGGTTTAATAAATTACAGTACCTCTGCACAATGGAATATTATGTGACCATTAAAATGATAATTATGCAGAAACATGAAAAATGTTTATGATCCACTGGTCATGGAAACTAAGCAGAATACAAAATAGTGGGCATACCCCACAGATAACACTCTCAGCATGTATTACATTTAGAAGAGATAATATGGAAAAATAATATAATAGTTGGATTGGGTTTAGTGGAATTTTATAGGTGACATAGAAAATATTATTTTTTAAATGTTCCCTTTAAATTTTCACACAGGAGCTCTTGCAATTTCTAACAGGTTAGATTCTGCAGGCTCTTCCTGTGCCTGAAATAATACTGCACCAACTATCAGTTTGTACCTGGCCCTGTAAAACTTTATCATCTTTACTTTTATTTACACAATAGCAAGACTCTTCTTGCCACCACTTTTAACAATCCCTCTGCTGTGGAGTTTAAAGGCAATGCAGAAACATGTCAAATAAAGGAAGAAGCAAACAAAATGAGATGGAACACTAAGGCTAGAGTGAAAATTACCCTGGAAGCCCTCCAGCCACCTGTGCATGGCTGGCAGAGCTACTGTGTTTTTGCCTTGGCTGGAAGTTTTGCTCATATGTCTGAAAGCTGTTAGGTGGAGGGGATTCTCCACTTTGCCCAAACCAGAACATATAGTCTAGAAACACAGCTGGGACTTGAGTTGGCCACACTCTAAAACCCAGGCACAAGCCCAAATGGATTTCCCCAGTGACATATGTGGGGGACAAGTTGTTCCACTGATCCAGAACCCCCCACATCTCTGAAAACAAGCATAGCTTTATAGCATAGAATGGGGTTGGGGGTGCAGTCTTCCAGAGTATTTTCCTCCCCATCATCCCCTTGGGGAACAGATTCTCCCACCTTCCTTGTGTTACCTTCCTGATCTTTCTGCTAGATCCTAGCTGGGAGACCTTGAGCAAATTAGTTAACTCTCTGTGCCTCATTTTCCTCCACTATAGAAAAGGGGATTAAAAAGAAGCCCCTACCTCATAGCACTATGGGAGCAATAATGAGTTAATATCTGTCAAGTGAAAAGAACGTGCCAGCCATATAACACTCAAATGATGCTAGTTATCACTAACTAGCAATTATCACTAACTGTTGTCTTTGTGGTGGAATTGACCTGATCACTCTTCTGCTCCACTGGATTATGCGCCCATCCCAAACTTGGAATGGGACAGAACCTTTTTGCATGATGTAATTTCCAACCTCTTTCTGGGAAGAAATTAGCATTGATAAATACTTAAGCAATTTTCTGATAATCTTTAATGAGATTAAGACCTCTTCTGGGAAGCCAGATACCCACCCACTCAGCTGACTGTCAGTCAGGATCTAATGATCTTGAAAAAATCCTTTTTTAAAAAATTGTATCCAGTCTAACAGTGATTACCCAATCATCCTGTTTTTCTATAAAAATTTTCTATAGAAGACAATCTCTGAATTAATCCACTAACGCTTCTATTCTTGTTACTTGCTTGAAGTTAAACTTTGGCATGTGTTTAAAAGTAAAATATCTGGCCAGGCATAGTGGCTCATGCCTATAATCATAACACTTTGGGAGGCTGAGGTGGGAGGATCCTTTGAGCCCAGGAGTTCAAGACCAGCCTGAGTAACATATCAAGACCTTGTGTCTACTAAAAATAAACATAAAAATAAATTAGCTGGGCATGATTGTGTAGTCCTGGCTACTCAAGAGACTGGAGCGGGATGATCACTTGAGCTCAGGTGGATATGGCTGCAGTGAGCCATGATCACACCACTGCATTCCAGCCTGGATGAGAGAGCAAGAACCTGTTCCCCCAAAATAAGGAAATAAAAGAAAAGAAAACAAAATGTTTGAAACAACAAGCAAACCTGTTATAGCATATAAAATAGTTGATAGCATTTACTTGTATTCTTAGTTCTAATATTCATACTAGGGAAGGGACCCTGGGAAGTAAGGACCACTTGTGATGCAGGATCTAACAGAAATTATTTAGGCAGATAGTGCGGGTTAAAAGAGTCCTCGGTAAGCCTTTCCTTTTAACAAAAAGCAGCCCCCAAATCATTTCTAACAAGAGCAGCCTGAAAAAGCAAGCTAGAATCTTGCACAGGTGAATGCCAGCAGCTGTGCCAACAGGAAAAGGCTACCTGGGGCTAGGCATGTTCAACATTGTGGCTCCATCTTTCTTTTTCTTTGTACAGTAAGGAACAGACAATATGGCACTGGCCAGGTAGAGAACCCAACTGCATACTAAAAGATCAGGGTGGGATGAACAGCTTCTTCACTGACTATGCAAACATCACACCTCTTCTGACCAACCTCTCGGGACCTATGTGAATCAGATACCACCTCCTCAAGCACATTCATAAAACCCTGTGCATTTCACCATGGAACTGGAAGACTCATTAAGGCATTCCTCTCTCTCTCTGCAGGAGGGAGAGCTCTTCTCTTTTCTCTTTCTTTTGTCTGTTAACCTCTGCTCTTAAACTCACTTCTTGTGTGTTCACGCCCTCAATTTCCCTGGTGTGAGATGATGAACCTTGGGTATTTACCCCAGACAATGACACTGCTTCATTTGTTTTTGTCCATATTTTTATCCAGCACTTAATATCGTGACTGATATAGAAAAAGTAATCAATAAATGTTTGTTAAGAGAATAAATTAATGAAAGAACAAATAAACTTTTAAAAAGAACTGAAAAGAGCGCACTTACTATAAGCTAGAAGAACTGGGAGGCTGCGTTGTAAAGCACTACTGGCTTTGGACACAACCGAGGGGTTGAAACATGTTTTGAGCTGCGTGGCTTTGGGAAAGTTTATCCACCTTCCTGAGCTTCCATTTCTTCATAGCACTATGGAGAGAATAGTGTATTGTTAAGGTATTCTGAGTTGAGACAACTTGTACAGTGAGTGTAACACAATGGCAAGTACATTAGGGCCTAAAAATATCTTAGTTCTCCCTCTTGCCACTGACTCTTTTTGTAACTGGAAAAGTTACTTCCTCTCTCTAGCCTGTTTCCTTGTTCTTAAAGTAGGACTTGAAAAAAATCCCTCATGGGGCATGGCTCTTCCCTCCCTGCCTTCGCTCTCTGCAGTCACTGGTGGTGTGCACCCAGGTGTACCTGCCACTTCCCTCCAGGTCCCGGCTTTTGTATGTAGTCTGAGCCACGTGGGTCTCTTTCTCTTTCCTCCAGCTGCATCGCTCAATCCTGCATTTGTGTCACCTCGGTGTGGAGCTGGCATTCTGGACGATGTGGCGTGACTTCACACTGATGCCATTCCCTTCCCACCCAGCCAACCTTGCTTCCTCCTCCACCCGTGGAATAAGCCAGAATGCTAAAAGTGGGAGGGAAAAAGAGCACCAAGGTTAAGGAGGCAGTCCCTGACATTTATTAGTGGAATTTCTGTTTCTGTGATGAATGTAGAGATTTGGGGTGACTGCCTCTTAAGGTAATATATAGGGAGATGATGAACCCCAGTGTTTTCCTTAAAGATCCATCCAGCTTAGAGAAAGACAAACATATACAAAGTCAATATTGAAAAGACTGTATGCTAAGTGCTAGATAAATTCCAGACCCACAGAGTAGAGAGGAGGGGCAAGAGATGTGCTTGGACTTACAGTAGTGCAAAGGTTGCTGGAGCAGTGCCCTGAGCTGGCCCTTTAAGGACAGATAGGATTCACTCAGATCCTTGTGGGTGAATAGGCAGAGCCTTCCAGGGCTCCAACACTGATGGGGTTGTGGGGGAAGAGGTATTTAAAAAAAAGAGAGAAAAAGAGGGGAAAAAAATACCCTCATGTGCCAGGGATCCAGTCAAGGTGAAATACATACCTTAAAAAATACTTAAAAAAAATAAAGATCCAGGGCAGACCTCTGCTTTCAGCCAAGGTGGAGAAACAAAGACTGGATTTACCTCCGGCCTGAAACAATAAAAATACTAGACAATATATGTAAAACAACAGTTTTCAAGACACCAGACTGAGGCACTGAAAGACAGTGAGGCCTGAGAGATGAGAAAAAAATAATGCGAGCACTGCAATTGCCCGAACTATACCCTTGACAGAGTGTCCGGGCCACAGAGCAGGAAGGGAGAGCTGAAGCACTAGCAATCTCCCTGAGGCAGAGCGGAGCATCCCGGGATATCAAGGCAGTAAAAGATCACGGGACACAGCACCAGAAAAAAGAGAAAGAACCTCAGAGATGTGTAGAGGGCTCATCTCAAGCAATCATCCGAATACGGATTAGTGCAAACATGTCAGGAAAAGATTCAAGGCCAGAAAAGAACCACCCAAAAAGGGTTAAAAGAAATAGTATTGAAGTGGTCCTCATAGAGTTAACAAGAATTTTGAACAGAAATTTATAATTAAGCATTAATCAAGCTGTACTTTGACCCACTTCCTTGTAACTGAAAGTCACGGTAGCACTAGATACTGACCATTTGCATCCCCATTGTTCCAATAGGTGGCATCTCAAAAATTGCTTGTTTTTTAGATCCCAAATTCCGGCAAAACAGCTGATGTCAACCAGTTTGAAGACCCCATAGAAGACGTGAATCTCATGAGAATACACTGTCTTCATCACCTTGTCCCATGACTTTGATATAGGAGTTAAGAAGAAATTACTCAGGCAGATAGTGAGGGTACCGGATTCCTTGGTTAGGTTTTCCCTTTTAATGAAAAGCAGCCCCCAAACAATTTTCTAACAGAGCAGCCTGTAAAATCAAGCTGCAGGTGTAGACAAGCAAGCTGGAAGCTTGCACGGGTGAATGCCGGCTAGGAAGAGGCATGTTCAAAATGGCGGCTCCATCTTCCCTTCTTTCTTTGTCAGCTATGTATACTGTAAGGAGCAGACAAGATGGCCCCAGCTAAATTGAAAGCCCATTTGCATACTAAGATTAGGGTGAGGTAACCAGCCTTTCCCCACCCTCACCACTCTATATAAACATCACACCTGGTTGAACCAGTCTGTAGGCCCTATGTAAATAAGGGTCTGCCTCCGCAAGCCTGCCTATAAAATCTTCTGTGATCCACTGCTTTTGCCTTTTTCTGACACCTCTTTCACAAGGGAGAGGGAGCTACTTGCCTCTCTCTTTTATTCTATTAAACTTTCTGCTCCTTAACCCACTCCATGTCTGTGTGTCCATGTTGTAATCTTCTTGACTACGAACCCCAGGTATTTACCCCAGACAACGATGTGCTGCTTCCACTTCACCTTGCATACTTTGGCCAATCAACAATCTCCACACTTCAGCCCATTCCAAAGCCCTTAAAAACCCTAGTCCTAAACTTCTTGGGGAGGTACATTTGAGGTTTCCTCCCAGCTCTTCATTTAGCAGCCCTATGATTAAACCTTTCTCTGCTACAATCCAGTATCTCAGTGTACTGATTTGTCATGCACATCAGATAATGAACCTATTATGGTTTGTTCATGATGCTCACATGGATCAAAAACAATGCTGTTCCCACTGGGCAGACTTGAAAACCTCACAGTTCACAGGGCTAAAGTACTGAGAAAGCTCTTAATACTGTCCTAGACTATACATGAATCTAGTCTCACCTAGCAAACCTCAGGAGCAAGGTCCAGCAGCATCGATCTCTTTCAAATATCTTAATTGAGCCCTTTAATAAAGCTCAAGAAAATTTAAAGGAATACAAAAATGTCCAGGACACAGGGTAAAATTCACAGTGTCTGACATCCAACACAAAGTTACCAGATACACAAAGGAGCTGCAAAATATGGCCCATACTAAGGAGAAAATGCCAATCAATCCAAACTGACCCAGAACTAATAGGGAAATTAGAATTAGCAGAGAAAGACAATGAAAAAGTTATTATAACTCTATTTCATATGTTCAAAAAGTTAAGATATAGAAAGTAAGATATAAATGACTAAATCAAACTTCTAGAGATAAAAACTACAATATTTAGAATGTGGTTAATAACATTTCTAAGAGGTCATTGGTTTAGACCGAGTTCCTGCATTAGGCCCAGCAGACCAAATCAAAATGGAGTCATTCAGACTGAGGTTCCACACCACCAAGCTGAAACTACATTGTTTGTCTAACCTGCCAAGAAATTAAGAGAAAAAGAGAGGGATCATAGTCAAATCTCCAAATAGGGAAGTTTTAGCTAGCATGATAAGGAAGTCCTCTCTGCTTTAACCTTTACAGGAAAAGTAACTTTGAAATGTCCAATTTGCTTTTGTTATTCTGTTCTCTTTTTTGGCCCTTCTGTCTATACAGCCAACGTCCTCTGCTCAGCTCATCAGAACACTCATTCTATTTTGTAGAATGAAGTGCTGCCCAATTCCAGATTGCAAATAAATGCCAATTAACATCTTTAACTCAGATGTGTTGTAATTTTGTCTTTTTTTTTCAGATGAAAAATACGCTGGATAGAATCCAATAACAGCAGATAAGATTTTGTTCCCTCCACCCTCCCCTATTTTCCAAAAAAGAATAAGGAATTTGAATACATAGCAATAAAGGTTATCCAAAAAGAAACACATAGAGAAAAAAAGAATTTTAAAAATGTACAGAGCAAAAGTGCACTGTGGGGATAACTTCAAGCAGCTTTTTCTATGCATAACTAAAGTCTCCAGGGGAAAGGAGAGAGTTGGAAGATAGGAAAAAGTATTTGAAAAGATACTAGCCAGAAAATTACTAAAGTTGATTTTTTTTTTTTTTTGAGACAGAGTCTCATTTTGTCACCAGGCTCCAGGTTAGAGTGCAATGGTGCGATCTCAGCTCACTGCAACCTCCATCTCCCAGGTTCAAGCAATTCTCCTGCCTCAGCCTCCCAAGTAGCTAGAACTACAGGTGTGCACCACCACGCTCAGCTAATTTTTGTATTTTAGTGGAGATGGGTTCTCACTATGTTGGCTAGGATGGTCCCGATCTCTTGACCTCGTGATCCTCCCGCCTCAGGCTCCCAAAGTGCTGGGATTACAGGCATGAGCCACTGTGCCTGGCTAAAGTTGATTTAAAAAAAAAAAAAAAAACAAACTATGAACCCAAAGTTCCCAGAAGCTCAATAACTGAAAATAAGAAATATGAAGAAAGCATACCAAGACATGTTATAGTCAAATTGTTCAAAACCAATAATAAAGACAAAATCTTAAAAGCAACTGGGGTGAGTGCAGGGGGAAGATACATTATATGCAGAAAAAAGTATAGGAATTACAGCAGATTTCTCCTTCAAAATAATGTGGGCAAAAACACAGTGGAGAAATATCTTTAATATACTGACAGAAAAAATTGTCAACCTGGAATTTTCTACACAGTGAAAATGCCTTTCTAGAGCAAAGGTAAAATAAAGACTTTTTCATACATAAAAAAGCTAAAAAAAAAATAGAAGGCCCATATTATAAGAAGTGTTAAATGACATTCTTCAAGCACAATGAAAATGATACGAGGTGGGGCCAGGCACGGTGGCTCATGCACTTTGGGGGGCTGAGGTGGGTGGATCGTGAGGTCAAGAGATCGAGACCATCCTGGCCAACATGGTGAAACCCCATCTCTACTAAAATACAAAAAATCAGCTGGGCATGGTAGCACATGTCTGTAGTCCCAGCTGCTCAGGAGGCTGAGGCAGGAGAATCACTTGAATCTGGGAGGCAGAGGTTGCAGTGAGCCGAGATCGTGCCACTGCACTCCAGCCTGGTGACCCACATGTCTGATAGAGAACTTGTATCCAAAGTATATAACTCCCAAAGCTCAATAAGAAGAAATCAAACAACTCTCCCCAAAATGGGCAAATATTTGAACAGAACTTTACCAAAAAAAAAAAAAAAAAAATGGCAAGTAAGCAAGTGAAAAATGTTCTGTATCATTAGTTATAAGGGCCATGAAAATCAAAACCACAACGATATATCCCTCCTCAACAATTAGAATGGTGAACACAAGAAGACTGAATACCAAATGTTGAAGATGATACAGATGAACTTGAACTCTCCTGGGTCACTGATAGGAGTAGAAAATGGCACAACTATTTTCGTAAGTAGTTTGGCATTTTCTTAATAAGTTAAACATACACTACCACACAGTCCAGTCATTCCCTTCCTAGGTAGGTGTCCAAGAGAAATGAAAACACATCCACACAGACTCATACATGAATGTTCATAGCAACTTTATTTGTAATACCCTCAAGCTGGAAACAGCCCAAATGTCCATCAACAGGCAAATGGATAAAGAACCATGGAATACTACTCAGCAATAAAAATGAATGAACTACTGATACATGCAACAAACTGTATTCATCTCGAAATCACTAGGTTGAGTGAGAGAAACTGCATTTAAAAAGATTACATGCTGTATGTGCCAATTTATATAAAATTCTGGAAAATGCAAATAATCGGGAATAACAGAAGATCTG